CTCCCCGCCTCGTCCCAACTACACCACCCGCGCCCCGGCTCGCCCAAAAACACGTCGCATTTTACACCTGCGCCGTCCTCATCGGTGGATCAGGACCCGGATGAAGTCGACCGTGGGCCATTTAAGAGTTTTGCGAGCTATGCCCAGGCGTGTGCAAAGAGGGAAGTGGCAGGCGTGAGGCGAGAGCAAGAAAAGGCGGGCGCGGCCCACAAGCCGCATATGATTCCAGCAAGCGATGAGTATCACGTACACCATCACGGGCACGGGCATCATGGACACGCGAGACGAGGACACGACTTGCATATTCTGCATCCCCCGTTCAAGACGCGAAAGAAAAGAGGTCGGTCGGGCCTAGGTGCGCTCGGGAGTGGCAGACGTGGTCCTGGGCACAGGGTCAAGAGTGGCCTGGGGAGTCTAGGAAACGGAGACGGTCCTATCCCCTCGCTGTCGACTTCGACTTCGACCTCTTCGGATTCGGATTCAGACTCGGACGCATCCTCCTGCTCATGCTCCGACTCGTCTTGCTCGTGCTCCTCATCTAGCCTTGAAGAGGACGTGGCGTCGGACGAAGATCAGGTTTATAGGGATTATCGAAATGCTCAGCGTAGTTCGTTGTTTGTCGGTCTGAATTTTGCGAGGGAGGGAGCTGTCAGAGCTGAAATGGACCGATGGGTTTCATGGATGAGCGGAATGCATGGTGTAGGGAGGATTGACGAGGAGGAAGAGGGCGAGGAGAGCGATGCCAGTGGGCCGACTGGGCCGACTGGGTTTGCAGGCGTGGGGTCGGGTGGCTTCGTAGGCTTTGGGAATGGCACACCCCTCGTTTCCAAGCCTACGCCGAGCAAGCTTACAACCTCGATTTCGCCACCCCGAGGCGCTGGCGTTGGAGGAGGCGGATTTATTGGTGTTGGTCCGGCTCCTACTACCGTTATTTCGCCGCCTCGAGCCCGCGGGGTTGGAGTTGGCGGGGGCGGTTTCGTTGGCGTCGGGCCCGCTTCTCCAGTTTCTCCTGCCTCCTCGCCCATTCCCATTCCCCGTGGCGTCGGCGTTGGGGGAGGTGGATTCGTTGGTGTCGGTCATGGCGTCGTGCCTCCCGCAAACACTCGGTCTGGTACCGGGTTCGTGGGGGTTGGAATTGGTTCGACCCTGGGTGGGATACCCTCTCCGCCGTCACCTTCCTCGCCCGAAGACAGCATCAGTGGATTTGGTGGAGGATTTGGCGGTGTCGGTGTTGGTGGGGGCGGGTTCCTGAGTGTCGCAGCGCCGGCATCTCCACCAAAGCCCAAAGCCCCGATCCGTGGTGTGGGTGTGGGCGGGGGCGGGTTTGTAAGTCTCGGACATGTGCAGGAGGAGAAAAAGGAGAAACAGGAGAAAAAGAAGCGCGAGGTTGTCGAGGAAAGGGACGAGCTGGGTGATTTCGTGCTTGATCTGCATGACTTGAGTTTGGCGAACATTTTTGTTGACCCGGTGGATTCGTCTAAGATTGTGAGTTTTCTTCTTTCCCCCCTTGGAGGGTGTTGACTAATGGAATCGATAGACATGCATCATTGACTGGGAGAGCACAACGATTCGCCCGTTCTGGCAAGCTGCGCACCTACCCACGTTCCTCGTCTCCGCGACAAATGCGCACTCGCACCCCGTCACACCGCGCATGCAATCTCGCCCATCCTACTCACACCGACCATCTCACCCTGACTCCCGCTCCTCTCACCGCGCACTTGGTGGACTCGAGGCGCACCTCCCGCCCAACGGCGCGACGTCTGGCATGGCGAGCATCGCCGCGCTGACCGCTGCGCTCAACGACTATGCGCAAGGCATATACGACGAACCGAGCCGGTTCGGCCAGTTTGAGAGTCCAAGGTTCGATAGTCCACGTGTGGGAGCGTTTGGGGATTCGCCGCGGCATGGACACCATGAGTCGCCTCGGCATGGGCATCACGATTCGCCTCGGCATACATATCACGACTCTCCCGGGAATGAGATGGACGCGGACGTGGACTCTCCTGCGGGGTCTGGACCGCGCACGGCGGTACTCTCCGTTCGACATGGCCTCGGGACGCACTCGTACTCGTACCCGAGCCCGCGCCGGAAGAGCGGAGCCAACACCGCGGTCAACTCAATCCGCCCGGGTGGGATGTCGCGCACGGGGTCGCACCGGGTGGACATGCATGCTCATTTCGGAGAGGAGGAGCACGAGCACGAGCACGAGCACGAGCATGAAGGACGCGTGTTCAGAGGGCGCGAGCGGACGCGTGAAGAGGCAGCCGAGTATTTCAAGCGTGTTGCGGCAGAGATTCGGTGCACTGGAGACGGGAAGTGGGAGAGGGAGACGTGTGGCGAGCGGTGGGTGCGGGCTGAGCGAGAGCGCGCTGCGTGGCGCGTGGCACACAAGGCGGTCGAGTGGGACGGGTGGGAGCTGGGGTTAGTGGAGAGCGTGTTGGAGGATGCGAGGACGTTGGCGGGGGATATGGACTTTTAGGCTATGGTAGCGGGAGAGGATAGGAGCACGTCCTGTGACCTGCCTTGTCGTGGTTGGGACAGGGACGTTTTTTGGGGTTTCCTTCTTTTGGCGGCTTGGGAATTCTTAGGATCACGACGTGTTGGAAAGTAGTTGGTCGTGTAAATATTGGTGATTATGTGAATCTTGATTTGGCACTACAGCGTCGGAACTAGATGCAGCGCTTGCATATGTCGGCACGACCGTCTCTTCGCTCGAAACACACTTACAATTTCGTAGCGCACGAGCGACCCTTGGCGCGATACGGAACCGCTCCAGGTCGTTCGTTCCACTTAACAATCGTTTACACCATGTCATTCGTTAACGACTGCACGATCGATCACGAGTGTGAAATCAATGCTGGGGAACTACAACCAATACCTCCGCTTGCTAGTATCTTGGTTCGGACACCGTCACTTTGGACACATATCGATCTATTTGCCGCTGGCCCTCATGAAGAAACCTACATGCTTTACGCCCGGTCGTGCCTAAGGTACTCTGAAAAATCACATCTACGGGTTTATATACTGGAGGATGAATCGAGCGACAACTCTGAAACCGCAGGTCTGGTCGGTATCTTGGGACCCCATGCACACCGAATCGTCTTATTTTATCTTTAGCTCCCCGTGAGCCTGCAACGTAAAATCCTGCTGAGCTTATTTGAAGATACCAATTCGTCTCAAGTAAAGAATTTGGGCCCTGCCGACTATAGTTGCAAGTTGGATAAAGATTTTTGTGATCGGCTCTCCGACGTCGTCTAGATCGGTTCCTGCAACCTTTACGGTCGCTTGCGGTGCGTGGGCCCCTTGTCTCCATGGATAGCCCGGTTTAACATGGTCTTGCCGCTCTTAAACTCGTTTCACGAACAGTTCAGAGGGAGAAACCTACACTCCTGCAGCTGGCAAACGCCCTAGCAGCCTGTCCACAGCTGCGCGTTCTTACACTCGTTGGCTTCGTGTTCGAAACCGCCCCAAATCTGCATTTCTTCCGAACCCCGAGTTACTTGACTTGCGCGGCTGGCAGAGACCGATGAACTTTTGGACATAGTATCTTGTATAACTCTTGGATCAAACACCTAGCCTTCAGCATGACCTTTGACCCAGATACGTCTGAGCGTGAAATGGCCACGTTGGAGGACTTTCTCGAACATTCAACGGTCACGCAGCTTTGTGTAGACCTTCGCCGTATTAGGTTCTCTGCAAGGGCACTCGCAAGTGTTCAGGAACTTGCACTTTTGCCTTCGATCCCATGCAAGACCTGGTTTAGCAGCCGTTAGACGCAGAACGTTTTCCAGCTCTTCGCACATTGCATTTGCCAGCGTGCCGATCGGACGCGAATCTTTACCGCCAACTTCTCGATTCCTCCACGGTTCAAGTACTTCAGGCGAACCGGATCGGCCACGTGAGCGGTCCACGTGAAGCGGTCCCACCTATGGAATACTGTACATACTCTTCTTTGTGCGAGGGCAAGCATGACCTCGAATGGCCTATTTGCTCGGCATAGTTGCCTTTTCATCCTCCATATGTAATTCAAGCAATGCGCCAATCACGAATATCTCCCAAGGAATACACTAGGGCTTGTGCAGTCAAGCCTAGAATATGGGCGGCACTATTTCACTCATTGTGCCACCGGCATTTATCCGGATGAAATTTGACAAGCACTATCGAGATTTCGTCAACAAGGGGAAGTTTCGTGAGGGTTGGGTGACTTTCAGTCATACCCTCTTGAAGGTGTTTTTGTGAGGCAAACCAGGCAATGCTGTCGGCATACATCAACATACTAAGTGCATATGTCACATGGAGGGTACACGCAAAAATAATTCACTTGGGCGCATTAGATTTCGTGGAACAGTTTGAACCAGGCTTTGAGATTTGTCCCGTCCGTTTCTCCTTGAGTGCTAATCATTTTGGCTCCATTCTCTTTGCATGCCCGCTCCACGTCTGCTCAGAGACGATAGATGCACTTGGTCCACCGATGTATGCTGACGATATTGCACGGTTTGTTTCCGCCCACATTGGGGGTATAGCTGGGGCCCGTCGTTCAATTCTCATGAAATTTTAGGATAACGTCTGAATTGCCAACGTGATACTCTACTGAGGGGTCACTAGGCGACAAGAGAAATACTGCTGGGCAAATTTTCGGCGCTTGCATCCGGATCTGGTGGAATGGAACGCAAACCGCTGTGAGGTCTGCACCAAATCGTCTTATCCCACCTCAGCCGGGTTAGAAGTGTTATATAAAATTACATAACGTTGCCAGTTGTATCTGGTGCTGGAAGAACTCGGCCAGAATAAACCTGCCTTGATCTGTCACGTGACCCGGTAATTTTTCATCAATTTGCAGTTAATCCACCCAATTCCTGCTCAAAGTGTTGTGTACTTTTCAGGTCCTGTGTGAATACCACACCTATCTATTGCTTAAAATTTCCCAGGTCATCCAAACCATACAATAGGATCAAAAACAGCAAAAGCTCACTAGGGGCTGACCTTGTCTCACAATGTAAGGCGAGATAGCCAAGTGGTCTACGGCGTATGGTTCAGGCTTAGTCATGATTTATAATGATTCCTAATCCATATCTCTTCGGGGGCGTGGGTTCGAATCCCACTCTCGTCATTGCTTTTTGTGGCTACTGAATGCACTATTTTATTCAATAAATAGGTGAGACACAACCCTGTATGCACAAAAAATGATGTAGCATGCTAGAATTGTGCATAGTGGCTTGGGCACTGAATTTTGTGGCCTGAGCCACATTTGAATATCGTAGCCTAGCTAGGTAGGCATAAGCACATGCAGAAATTTCAGCTTCCCACAGCATCAATTGCCATGATTTCCTGCATTGCAGGAGTGGGAACAGGAGTGGAACCGATAAAAATGCAGAATTTCTGCCTAAAACTCCTGCAATTCCTCTGTTTGAGTACTTGGAATTTTTGCAAATTCCTGCACTACATGGTGGTATTTTTTTTCAGAATTTATGCTATTTTATTATACTGTAGGCAAGGCAAAAGGTTCCTCAGGTGTCCCAGGCTCAGAGTAGCAATCTTAGGTCTCTATAAAGGCCACCACAGCTTGGTACAATAAATATTACAATATGCAGGCTGATTCTAGCTCCCAGAATATGTACTTGGACCAATCAGAATAAATTATCCTGACCCAAAAGGGGGGTTTGCCTCTAAAAAGTGCCACCCACACTAGTGAATCCCACCATAGCAATGCTGCTTCCCTGTGTGCAATTTACTTGTAGGTGCTACAGTAGTATATGTACAAATTCTCAGGGCAATTGGAGCATGGGAAGTAGGTGAAACAGGGGTAAATGTCTTGGACAGGAGCTGAAATCATAGTGGTGCCCCCTCTACAGGACTATTGAGAGGATTTGAAGGAATTCTAATGAGTGCATTATGTTCCAAATAGTTTATTAGCATAATTCACTACTTTACCCTGTCTTGAAAAACAGATATATTAGCCTGAATTTACTCAATAAGCCTCAGGAAGGTATGCTCCCCAGTAGTTGCATCATGTTAGTTTATATGAATCCAGAGCAGATACAGGTTAACCATGTTGCACTGAAGTTCAGTGTGTAGAAATTTCGCATGAATGCAAGCATTTTTTTCCCACATACCCCACAAAGCAGGAGCAGGAGCAGGTGCAGAAGGTGCAGAAAATTGCGGAATTCCTGCCTGAAAGTTGCTGAAATTCAGCACTTAAGTGCTCAAGACTTTGGCAACTTTCTGCACTATCTAACAGTATTTTTTCCATATTTCTAGCTTTAATATTCAGTGAATCATGAGGGAAACAAGTTCCCCATCCCCAAAGCTGCAAACATTGATTTTGAGCACATGAAAAACCCACCACAAATGGATGATTGTAGGCCCATTAAATGCACATAGATTCCAGCTTTCAAAATATATCCTTACCTTCTCTTAGAAAAATAAACTGGCAGAGAAACTGTGCATTTATGCTCAGAGGGGCTTTACCCCTGAAAAGTGCCATGGAGACTAAGAAATATAGCCATGGGACTGCTGCTCCCTTTGGTGCAATAGTTATACAGATATTATATAACTCTAGTGACAAAATTTCAGACAGTTTGGAGCAAGGGAAAGTGGTGAAACAGGGGGAAATGTGCTGGACAGTGTTACGAGCCTTCGCCGTAGGGTCACTAGTGTGATGTGGAGGTTCCTATAGATGTGATAGGGTAGGACTGGGGTCCTCGTAGATGATAGACGGACATGATGTAAAGGCTTATAGTTAAGCCACGAGACGTTACTTGACTTAGCGGCGATGTGCCACAAGAAACAAAAGGCGGTCAAGTGGCTAAGTACCTTTAAGCCACGAGACCCTTGGAGAGACGACTTAAGTAAGAGGGTTGCTAACCCCTTAGTGCAAAGGTAAAGTGGGACAAGGCGAGAACAAGCTGGTCCGACCAGGCTTGCTCTCTGCTCTCTATATACTATGCACATACAGGTGAGTCATCTATCTACGACAGTCAACCGCCATTCCAAGGCGAGTCAACAAGACAAGTCACTTGTACAGACGTGAGTTAACCGCCATTCCGGGCAAGTCAACCACAGAGCGGCACCAAGCCACGAGACGAAAGGGGGCCAGAGGCGCCCAAGAGAAAGAAGAAGAGAGAAAAGTTGGGGGCTGTACGACAGCTCACAACATTCTTCCCCCCTTTCTGCGCGAGTCCATGTGCAGCAGGGCGAGCAAGAGAGAAAAAAGAAAAAAAAGAAAGGAAAAAGAAGTTATCTACACTTTGGGGCTACATTATCCGGGGCGCATTGTAGCAACGACTGGTTACCCATTTCTACCTTAGGGGGCCCAAACTTGGTCCGGCTCACTCCACACACTCTTCGGGTGTCTCGTCAAGACGCTCCCAGGCTTCGTACCTCTCCTCCCATCCCATCTGTCGGTTCCAGGAGTAGTGGTCAAGCCGCTCGAAGAACTGGCCTTTGGACATCCCCTTTCGGAAGAGGAGGTTCGCGACCTGGTCCCAAGAGAGCTCCTCGATCAGCTCGTGGTAGGTCGCTGGTGTCTTGGAGCGCCATTCTCGGACGGTGTCCGCGATCCACTCTTGCATGCGATCGGTTTGCACCCACCAGGTCCTGTCGGCCTTCCATTTGAGGTCCGGGAACTGGCACTTGGACTTCGTGACGGTCCTGTAGACCAAGTCGCCGACGCACTTGTTCGCAACGTAGAGTTTCATCCGTGACATTTGCCAGGCGTCGTCCGGCCTTGGTCCATCCCCGACCCACATGAGGGGTCCGTGCTTCGGGTGGTGGAGGGTGTTGCCACTGAGGGCACACCCGGCTCGCTCGTGGATGGGGATGTACCGGAGGTCACACCCGGCGTCGAGCTCGGCCGCGTAGTCGAGGGTGTCCGAGAAGTTGTTGATCTTCCAGCTGTCCCGGACGTACTTGCCCACGCCATCCTTGCGGAGACGTCCGCACTCCTCTCACACGATGATGTAGTTCCCCATGGGGACGATGGTGACTTTGGGCTTGGGGGCCCATCGTGCTCGTTCCCAGGCATTCTCGTTCGCCCTCGCATGTCGCACCTCAGGGTTGTGTCCCTTGCACTCGTTCCCGGCTGCCTTGCTAGCGATGGCGGCGTACGACTTGCTGACGACCATGGTGGATAAGTGAGGTGGTGGGCTAGGTCGAGAGCGGAGAGGAGTGGGGAAGCGGTGATGTCTGGGGAGGCCTTTCCCTGTTCTCTTATATACCCCTCCGGCAGCAGTGCTCCTGGGAACTTCCGGCGGAAGTCCCTCATGACTCGTTCTAGTGGAATCATCTTTTCGGCATGTTCCAGGGTGTTTTCTAGTGAGTCATACCCTTTCCATTTGATTTCGTAGTAAAGTTGCTTCCCCCTTTGTTCCCAACCGACAATCTTCTCGACTTCGAATTGTTCTTCCCCTTCTTCCGTTATTACCGGCGGTGGTTTTGGAGAGAATCTTCCGAAGGAATCTTCTTTGAACCGTGTGAGCAGGTCCACATGGAACACATTGTGTATCCTCATTGTCTTGGGTATGTCAAGTTGGTACGCATGTGACGATATCTTCCACGTAATCTCGAAAGGACCGGCCCTCTTGTTGTCGAGTTTTTTTGAGGGTTGCCTCGTGTGGATGTTTTGGGTGTTAAGCCAGACCTTATCTCCTTTCGCGTATTCAGTGCTTGTTGTTACTTCTTTCTTCTGATGATATTCCATGGATGCTCGGGCTTCATCCCAAATCTGTCTCATGTGGGTCGCCATGTGATTTGTGCTTACGCTCCCATCCCTTCCTTCCTTGGAGATTTGCCATCGGGGGTGTCTTCCATATACCGTTTCGAACGCCATTTGTCCGGTTGCTGCATTCTTTTGGTTGTTGTGGCAGAATTCCGCAATGGGCAGCCACCTCACCCAGTCATCCTGCTCGTAGTTGCAAAAGCTACGTAGATAACCCTCTAGCCACTGGTTGGTCCGTTCTGCTAGCCCGTCTGTCTGTGGGTGGTAGGTGGTGGAGAAGCGAGGGTCTTGTCCCAACTGTTCGTATAGGGTCTTTAGGAAATTACTGTTAAACGTCATGCCTCTATCCGAGATTGTTGTTTTTGGGGTCCCATGATGTTTCCATACTTCTCTTAGGAAGAGTTCGGCTAACTCTTCCGCATTCATCACCTCCCTGCAGGGCAGGAAATGTGCCTGCCTTGAGAATTGGTCCACCACTACCAGGATACTATCGAAGCCCTCTGAAAGTGGTAGCTTTACGATGAAGTTGTAGTTGATAGCTTCCCATGGTTCCTTTGGTAGCTCCATGTTTTTGGCAGCGACCCTTTGGCTCATGGATTTCGCTCGTGTGCAGATCTCGCATTCATTGACGTAGGCATTGACCTGGGCTTTGATGTTTGCCCATGTATATCTTCTGCTCACGAGTTCCAGAGTTCGTGCTCTTCCCTGATGTCCCGCAATGGGTGAGTCGTGGTGCATGTGGAGGATCTTCTTTCGTAGCTCTGGTTCGTCCGGCACTAGTATAGCGTTGTCATACCATAGCAGCCCTTCTTCCCATTTGTATTGTTGATATTGTTTCTGGATAGATGCAGGTAGTTCCTTTATCTTCTGGACGCTGTTGATCAGGGTTTCTAAGGATTCGTCCTCCTTTTGGGCTTCCCTGAGCTCCTCGATAATATCCATGCTGATTTCGGCCTTGAACCCCTGGAACCTTTCCGCTGCTATCATGGTTTGTTTCACGCTTGGTATGTCCTTGTGATTGTGTCTTCTGGATAGTAGATCCGGTTTCTCGGACTGCTTTCCCGGCCGATATACGATGTTGAAGTTATACGACGCTAGTAGGCCGTACCACCTTGCATGTTTCCGGTCCATGATTCTCGCCTTGCTCCAGAACTGTAGGTTTCGATGGTCCATGTAGATTGTTATGGCCTCCTTTGTTCCCTCTAGTAGGTATCTCCACTGCTGTAGAGCTTCGACGATGGCTAGTAGTTCCTTGTTATAGGTATCATACCGTTGCTGGGCTGCATTGAAGCTTTTTGACATGAAGGCAACTGGATGTAGCTTCCCGTCCGTATGTCACTGATTTAGTATGGCCCCCATCGCCACTCCTGATGTGTCTGTCTCTAGGTAGTGAG